ATAAACAAACTCTTTTATTCTATATACAATTACTGTAAAAAATAACCTTAATTATAACTTTAAATGAAGACACAAGGTTTCAAAGAACGTGTTTTAAAAGATATACATTTCATACGGCAGTCAGTTACTTTTCCTAATGGTGAAAAAATGGCAGTCAGCTGCTTTTCATAATTGTGAAAATGGGCAGTCAGCTGCTTTTCCTAATGGTGAAAAAAAATACAGTCAGTTACTTTTCCTAATGGTGAAAAAAAGGAAGTCAGTTACTTTTCCTAATGGTGAAAAAAAATACAGTCAGTTACTTTTCCTAATGGTGAAAAAAAGGAAGTCAGTTACTTTTCCTAATGGTGAAAAAAAGGCAGTCAGTTACTTTTAATAATGGTGAAAAATACCAAAGGTGTTGTTCACTAATTACTCGAATAACATCTATCGCTCGTACATTTCTGCCGATAGTATTAAAACAATTAATATAATTAAATCTATTATTCAGTCACAATATATTGGAATGCAATGTGTTCATGGAGAACAGATCATATAAAAGTAAAGAGCTTTTAAGGACTTAGAGATAGTTTCATTCCACGCCGGAAAGAACAGTACTGAAAGAGACATTGAAAGAGACTAAGATTTTTTACTTGTTTCTTGTCAAGCGACAAGCTACACATTGGACTGTACGTGCCAACCGCAGGTATCAAAACCCGATTCTTAGCCGTATAAGCCATCGGACTTGCTGCTAACTTTCCCAGGAGCATTGAACGAAGGCAATGAACTCGGTCTTAAGCTGTTAAATCTAATATTTGTGATCCGTACAATGTAGCGTGGGTTTTCTACGTTTCCTCTGTCGCCAGGGCCAACTTACCTGCTCCTTTAATATGTGACATCGTTGACTGAAAAGTAGAACATAGTCACGTGTTTTATATTACTGGTGTTACAAGTAAGCGACAGCCTGAAAAATAGAACATGGTCATGGGTTTTTAGATTACTGGTGTTACGATGATGACACTTTCATTGTCAATGGGAATTACCCATAAAATTCCTGGTTGTTGTGTAATAACCTATAGAGTCATGCCATTCAAATTCCCCACCCTTCCCGACATGAATTTTTAATGTCGTATATATATTGGAAAATGTCGATTCGCTGAGCTTTGAAAAGATTGGACAAATGTGAACATTTTGAGATCAAGGTCTTTTAAAGTTAAAATTAGGAATTTGAACGATAATAAAGTTTTCTATAGAAAAAATTGGTGTCTAGAGGCAAACAAATCTATTTCAGTTTCCATACCTTGGAAAGATTTCACGTGATAAATACAACACAAGTTGATCACTGAAAAACATAACTTTGCTGTTTTATACTACAGAAAATACTTTACTGTAGAAAAGTCAATATAATGGTATAATACATAGAACCCGAAAAGAATATTTCATTGGCTCAGCGGTAAGTCTGTATGCTTTTGATACCGATGGTGGGCACAGCGCAGATAATTCATTGTGTAGCTTTGCGCTTAACAAGAAACAAACAAGGACTGTTTTTCTTAACTCTATAATTAATTCTTAAACGGGTAAAAATACTGTGTTCTTGAATTAAG